AAATGATAAGATGTAAAATGGTTTGCCATAAAGTGCCAGATACATGAGGAATTACTCTTTTTATATTATAAATGATGATCATGCATTTATAATCTAAAAGATTTTTATATCTATTTGTTCCTCTCTTTGTCTTTAGAATCCACTGTTGTAAATAGTTGTTTTAATAAAACAGTTTGGCTTGGCCCATGAAGACAGTTTTGGGGTTTTCTGGGGGCGAAGGGAAGGTGATACCGTTATCCCTGTTTATACTTGGATCTATTTCCAAATTGATTAAGTCTGATAGAGCGCCCCCTGCTGGCATCTAGGCAGTCTGAACTGCGCTCCTGCGTCACTCAGCTGTTTCCCTCACTCCCCTGAGTCCATGTGTCACTGTGGCAACTCAGATAACCGGTCTTTGCTGACCTCTCCCGATTCCCTCCAACACCCTCCAAGCTGAGATCGGGGGCATCCCTCCCCATCTTCTGTCCCTCCAGAATATGGAGCCAAGTAGAGACCAGGGGAGGACAGACTGGACAAGAGCCAGGGTGAGGTCAGCTGGAGGGCTGGGAGGTGGACAGCAGCAGTTCTGGAAGATGGAAAGCCAAAAGTTTGCCCTGCCCAGAACAAGAGGAAGATGCAACCGTGGAGGGCGAGGAATCACCTGCTGGTGCCAGGGCAGGTGAGGCCAGGGAATCCAGGTGCTTGGGTTGTCAAGTCCAGCCCAGGTAGGCACAGCACACCAAGGTGAGCCCTATTCTAGGCCATCAAAATCTCAGGGAAAAAAAATGATCCTAACCGGCACAAGAGGGACTAAAATATCTACCATTTATTTATCCCTGTCTTTATTTTTCCTTCTTTCATATTTTGTATGAAAATTTAATCACCCAGAAAGAAACTTCTAGATTGCAGATGGGGCCTGGAGCAGGGCAGTTAGCAGCTGACTATAAATGGCACTGCTCTCCTGCCATTGCCATGCTGGGTTAGAGAAATGACTTTAGCTTCCAGGATTTCCAATCTGATGTTTCCCCAGTGAAATATATGTATTTGTATTTATAATGAAAGAAATGAGGAGCTGAGTGTCGGGGCCCATGGATAGGAAAAGGGGGCATCCTGGAGGGGCAGGCTGCCTGCCAGCTCCCGGGAGCCCTGCAGAGACGGCCTCTGGGGCCACCAGTCTCCAGTCCTGGATCACCATCTCTTCTCCAGTGTCCCGAGGACAGAGTGGGTACAAAATAGAACAGGAATAAAAGAGAGGAGAGGATGGGAATGAACGTTCTAGCTGTGTGACATTCGATCTCAATTTATTCATTTGCAAAAGGGAGCCCAAAATGCCTACATCACTGGGTCATTATGAAGATTAAATAGTGCCAGCATG